CATCCTTCCAGAAATTTTAGAAATATAAATCATTCCACTGTGCAAAGAAATGGTCAGTGGGAAAGTCTTCCAATCCCGGACAATTGCAAAGTTTGTGGCAAATTAATTCAAGATCATGAGCGCCGAGCCCAGGTTCCAACATGTTTGCATTCAGCTCACCATGAGTGCATGGCAAATATGCTTCAAGATTTTGCAAACTGCCCCCATTGTATGAAGATGATATTTAGTAATGAAATAAACCAAGTGATGGAGATACATGGTATGGCAAAATCCATTTGTCATTCCAACAATAAACTTTATTTATACATCTTAGGACTATCAGTTTTTTCTTTGTTCCTTGTTTTGGAAAAATTCTTCTGAAATTATATTGATGATAGATTTAAAGCTCCAGAAACTTAAAAGTGCAGTGATTCAATATTTACACAAAATTAGAAACATTCCTTGAAATCTAGAGTTAACCAATTTCTCTCAAAAAGATTGATGCTATCCTTTTTTTTTATCTTGCTTCCCATCCAGTAATGACCTATGAAATTCTCAGTAAGTCATCACATTGATTGGTTCAGGAACAGTAGCAAGATTCAAAACTGAGCTTTTTGCATCTGAACTTGCTTAGAGTCTCTTGAAATCCATTCCTTCTTAGATTACTAAAATCAATCACTCTTTGGGAGAGTTTGTCAACACACAAAACAACCAATATTTGGAAATTACCACAAGTTCTTTGCAGGAAAGGGCTTGATCTTTCAAGCTGGATTGAGTGCTCTTTATCTGGAAATTGTGTTCCTTTCCTTATCATGGGAAGCTGTACTCAATCTGCTGTGCTTGCTGCGTCAGTGTTCGGTGCGGCGCATGATTTGCTTTTGGTTGGTGGTGTTCCCAGCTGATCAGGCTGCGGCCATCGACCACCCAATCAACCTCTCCGGAAAAACATGTCGAGCCCCCACTTCCTACGATTACCACTACCATCAATCACCAAGCAAATCTTCTCAAGAAGGAGTCTCTCCGGCAAGTTCAAACTAAGCCCATTCTCGACTTGCAATCAACCTTCTCATCGGCCCTCAGCCTTCACCTCAAACCTTCGTCTCCAACGATCACCTTCCATCTCTTTCACCGGCAATGCCAGACCGTCTTCATATTCGACACCTTACGATCGATGTCGCATAGCATTTTCCAGATCGAACTCCAGTCTATCATCTAATCCAGAACTACTTCTTTCACCACCGATTATCTCGAAACATCTGATCTTTATTGCCGGACTGGTCTTCACCATTGTGGTCGTAGGAGGATACACCCGGCTGACCGAATCAGGCTTATCGATCACCGAATGGAATCTAGTCAGTGGCATCCTCCCACCCTTGAACGCCGAAGACTGGGAGAAAGAATTTGCCAAGTACCGGGCGACGCCCGAATTCAAGCTATTGAATCATGCGATCGGCCTGGAGGAGTTCAAGAAGATATTCTTCTGGGAATGGGCCCATCGAATCATGGGCCGAGTCATCGGCCTAAGCTTCCTGCTACCGATCCCGATCTTTATCCGATATGGGTTGATCAGAACTAAGAAGACCGGATGGTCCTTGGCCGGCATCGGCGGGCTGATCGGCTTACAGGGTGGTCTAGGGTGGTACATGGTGCAGAGCGGCTTGGATCAGAAAGAACTCGATCAGAGAGACGGCGTTCCTCGGGTCTCTCAGTACCGCTTGGCCGCCCATCTCCTCATGGCTTTCACCGTTTATTCAGCATGCATCAGACTCGCTGGTGGGCTCTGGCGAGACTGGAAAGTGGCCGTCCTAGACCGTCCCCTCTTCCAGCACCTCAATCGTCACAAAATCTCTTCTGCACTCGAGTCGATTCAACTCTTGAACAATAAACTTCCCACCCGTGCTCGCTTCTTCATCGGCTCTCTTACTGGTCTCATCTTCCTAACCGCTGGCTCTGGTCAGTGTTTGATTTCTTTCAGCTAGTTGAATTCAAAGAAGACCATTCTGTGATCACACCTTTGATGTCGGAAAAGGAAATAAAAATCTAACTCGTTCTTCGTCTTTTTTTTTTTTTTTGAATGTAATTGAAAATTGTACAACAGGTGCCTTTGTTGCGGGTTTAGATGCAGGACTAGTGTACAACACCTTCCCCAAAATGGGCGACCGATGGATGCCACCGCAAGACGAGTTATTCTCAGAGCTTTACACGAATCGAGGCAAGCAAGGCTCCACAAATGCCGAAGGAGGAAGATCGATAGTTGACCTGAGTTGGATGCGGAACATCTTTGAGAATCCGACAACGGTCCAATTCAACCACCGGGTCCTGGGTACACTGACGTTCATCAGCAGTCTCAGCTGGGCGGTTTTTATCGAGAAGAACAAACATCTCGTCCCTCGTTCGACCCTGAACCTCAGCAGACTCATCGCACTTGTTGCCTCTAATCAAGTCGGCCTTGGGATCGCTACCTTGGTCTACTTGGTCCCAACTAACCTCGCTCTCCTCCATCAGGCTAACTCCCTACTCCTGCTGTCCGTCAGTCTATTCGCCGGACTCTCCCTCCGTCGACCTGGCGCTCTTGCCCTCAAATCTGTTTATAAACATTCTCAAACTCTGCTTCATAAACCTAAAACCACTTGAGATATCATCCTCCTTCTTCTTGCCCCCATTGTGATCACATCCCTTGATACCTTGTCAAGAAAATCAGCAGGGAAGTTGCTTAAAAAAATGGCTAGTTCACATCATTTTGTACAACAAACATACATACACTGGCCTCACTTCGAGATTAGACTTAGATTTTACTTGTCAACTTACCGCTTCATTTGCATTTTGTTTTTCACCAAAAGAAAACCCGCTCCATACCCTTTCTTACTCTATTTGCTCTTTGATATTGCATATTCCATTCAAAACCCCTACTCAATTCTTAACTTCTAAACATAATGCATATACATACATCTCACATCTGTATTTTTTTTGAAATGCATGCACGCTCTAGTTTTCCTTTGGGTTGTTTGTTCAGTTGTGACTTTTTTGATTGATTGGTCCATCCTTCAATCAATTTGATCACTAGCATGTTGATTTTTGTATCTTGGATGTGACCACATGACTTTTGCATTCGAATGACCCGAAGTAAACTATAAAAAAAAAAAGGCTGTGGTGGGTTGGTAAATGTGTCTGGACAATCTCACTTCATCTTATGCCTGGAACTAAACAAGGTGTCATGATGAGCACCAGCTTGGTAGTAGAGATTAGAGTGATGAACTAGAATTCTGCCATGGTTTGTATGTACCAATCAAACAAGATATAATCTGACTATGTGGCTCAGTTATTCAGCAACAATGAGCTAAACCTCTAGCCTTATACTTACTGGTCATGGTAGAGAGTTGAAGATGGATTTTTGGACTGCAATGAGGGCCCCCACTCACCCAACTTGAGAAAAATCACATGAACCATGGTGAGAATGTCAGTGTTGGTCACTACAAGGTATGCTGAACTTGCTCTCCTGCTGAAATCAATCAGTGATGGTTAGGTCTCCTGTTCTTCATGTCACTGGTTTTACCTTTTACTTATCAAAGTCCCGTCTAGTGTTTTTTTTTTGATAATCATCCATGTGGAGTCTGGACCAACAACCCAAATTCTTTCTCAAACATCAAGTTTATGGACATACATAAAATAGGGTTGGAGCTTGTGATGTTTTTGTTTTGGGAACCCGGCTGGGAGACGTTTGCCGGGTCTCGTACATACCACTTGAGCGCTGGATGGCTGTTAACTTCGCCTCGATAGACTCACTATCAACCAACTTTTGTGAGGCCTCCAAATAAACGAGAAATAAAACAGGCGTAACAAGTGAGCTCGTTTTGCCAATTGGCTGGATCGATCTCCTTTATCTAAGACACCCTTTGTTCTCATAAGTTGTTGCATCACAGATTGTGATGCATGTATCGGTGGCTTGAGTCTGATTTTGACGCTCTTTGACTTTCTCATCATTGTTTGCGGAACTTGTTGATAACAGTCTTGAGGATGCACAGGGTGTTATATGCATATGTTGCTTTTACAACAGCGGATTGTTTAGCTTGACCGATTTATTTATGTGGTGCCTGGTACTTGAAGTAAATAGAATGGATCTCATATTTTTGGGAATCTCTTCGGGCTGTTATTATAATTCTTCTAGTGGCCTTGTTGGAGATCTCAATGCTCTTTGAAGTGTTAGGTATCTTAACTAGCGGGGTTGGACTGGCTTAAATACATATTCTTTTTTCCTGCCTTTTTTGGATCAGCTAGCCGTTGATCAGCGCCCTTTCTAAATGACTATTATCGGCAAGCCAAGGTTTCCTTTTGTTCTACTTTTTCGGCTGTTTTTCGTCGGTTTCAGGCGTCGAAGGTATGTGTACTATGTGTTACTGAGGTTTCAGACTTAGAATATATTGGCCCAGTCCAGTTACCGACTCAGCCCATCCCCCCCCATGTTCAGCCATTTCTGACTTTTGTCTGACTTGTCCCCTGTTAAACTTGAGCGACTCGCCAGGTTCTTAAAAATCCCCCGTGTCTCGCCCCCCTTCCATTCCCCCCCCCCCCCTTTGCCTCTTCAAACGCCAATCTCACTCCCCTTTCACTCCCCAGCCAGCTCCCTCC